TTTCTCTTATTTTTAACCAGACGAAAGGATACGACGCCTCGCATGGGAGGAGATATATGAAACGTCGGTGATCGTATAATCCGGCGGGTGAACGCGACCGCGGAAAATAATCCGACACTTTATGCCCTCGTGCCCGTAGGCGGATTAATCGTTTGTGTTTTAACTTCCATTCACGCGGGACGGCTTTTGTGCCGAGCGTTACCGAGCGCCGGTTATTGTTCGTCACACGCGGAGATTATTCCTTTGGAAAGTACCTTGAATTATGACCGCCGGTGGCTCTTCTTCTTTCTGCGTTATTGGAACCCCGGGTATGCCGCGGCGGAGATAGAGCCCAAGGGAAACGGATGGATGGAAATAAAATAGCTTCGCGTTGCTGTGTTCGCGGATTGTAATGCGAAGACACGCGATTTTTCATTGTAAGTGGCGCGATAAAGGCATTGAAATTCCTGCGTGCGCAAACAACTCTGAAGCCAGGCCACGCTCGTGGTGAACTCCACGTCGAGATTTATCTTTTAGTTTTCGGAAGAATGAAACATCGAAGGTTAGCGAAAGTTTTTCTGAAAATGCAGTTAGAAAGTGTAGTGTACGTCACCGTGACAAACGATCACACTTTATAACGGAGAATTTATAAAATTTTCAGTTCCCGTCATTTCCTTTCGATCTTTCTTATAATTTAAAGATATAAAGAGTCTCTACAGTGTCCAAAGGATTTCTTCGATCGCGTAAAATTTACATAATGAAATTAATTGTTCACCTGCTTTATTTTCCAGCCGTTTGCAAAGAGGGCTGCCACCCAGTGCACGGTCACTGCAACGTGAGCGGCGAGTGCAAGTGTCGACATGGATGGCGCGGTGAACTCTGCGACCAGTGCACACCATATCCCGGCTGCAAACACGGATACTGCAACGGCTCCAGCTGGCAGTGTATCTGCGACACGAACTGGGGTGGTATCCTCTGCGACCAGGATCTCAACTATTGCGGCACGCACGAACCCTGTCAGAACGGTGGCACGTGTGAGAATACAGCGCCAGATCAATACAAGTGCACCTGCCCCGAGGGATTCTCTGGACCGACTTGCGAAAAAGTCGACAATCCCTGCGCCTCCAACCCTTGTGTCAATGGAGCGACCTGCAGAGAACTGGGAGAGAGTGCTCATTGCGAATGCGCTCCTGGATTCTCCGGGCCTTACTGCGCCACGGACATCGACGAATGTGCATCCCAACCTTGCCAGAATGGAGGCACTTGCGTAGATGGGAAGAACGGATTCGCGTGCAACTGTCCACCAGCCTGGCAGGGAATCCTGTGTCAGTTCGACGTGGACGAGTGCGCCTTGAAGGAATCCCCGTGCAAGAATTCGCTGACCTGCGTGAATCTCGCTGGTGACTACAAGTGAGCAGGAATTTTATTAACTTTGTTGCTTGTCATTTCTGGTCAGGTATTTTATACCTGATGAAGTA